TGCCTGTCAATCATGATGGTACGCTACAGGAGAATTTCTCTACAGTGGCGAGTGGTGGCGCAGCAGGCTATAACAGTCTCTCGGGCCTTATGGCCCTCGCTTGAAATGCCTTCGGCATTTCGCAAACGCCTACGGCGTTTGATTAATATTAATATTAATAAAAAAACACACACACGTAAGGCCAGAGGGACTGTCGACAGTCTACCAAGTACTGGTATATCGTTTGTATACATAATGTGTCATGCCATAATACATAATTTTCAGGCTTTTAGTTTGAAAATATGATTTTGAAATGTAAGTTTCCTATTTGCTTGATTTTAATTGCTATTAATGCTTTCAAATCATGTTCTAACACGAGCGTGAAAACAGCGTACAGTTTGATTCAAACAAAAAATAGGTAAATTGATCCCTTTTTTTCCCCCACACAAAAATATTGTTACATTGGCTTAAATTGCTATATATAAGCATTTGTGTGAATTATAGAAATTTCAATAGGAGTATCAATCGTGCATCATGAATCCTAGCAAATCATACGTGAATCCCTACCCTACGATGTCTTCACACTTGTCAGATTTATAGTGATTCACCTATTCCCCAAATTACTGTATCCTTCATTATACAAATCAAAGTGAATCTGCATATATTCCGTGTAAATTTATATCCCTATAAACTTGAAAATATCCTCTTTGATTGTGAATAAAATGTGGTATACTTTTTTTTTTGTGTGCCAGGCGACAGTTCTGGACATTGAGTGTCACTGCTGTCTCTTCTGACTTTTTTTTTTGTATGTGCAAATTGCAAGTGCTAGTGCTGACACATAGTGCATTTTGCCACAGAAGTCATATTCATGTTTGGGACTACATGTACATGACAGGACTGTGTGGCCACCTCTCTGTCAAATGGCAATTTAATGCGCTATCCTGGCGTCAACCAGGCTCGATCGAACACAAGCATCTGCGGACCTTAACCAAGGTTCACCCAAAGTCACATTCGTTAGTGAATGAATCTCTGCCAGTGGAATTGGCCTTCCCATTGAGTCTGTGGCACGCTCACCCAGGGTAGGGGTCGACCCTTTGATGTTCAGCCTAAGGTAGGATTTGAACTTGGGTCTACCGATCATGAGTCTGACGCAACAACCACTATGCTACCAGTGACCGGTGGTATACTTACACAAGTCAGGTATATCTTTCAATAATTCATGCCACATGAGTACGTCACTGAATGCTACTGTCATTCCACCACCAGTCAACGGATGTCTCATATTAAAAGCATCGCCGAGCAACAACACGCCAGGTTTTGCGATTGGTGCTGGAGGTAGAAAACTATTCGGCATAGTACGTATACGCCCATTCTCTATGCCATCTTTGAATGGTCCTCTCAGATGATCTGTAACAAAAATTGGATAAGGATATTTATTGATTGTTTTATTATTTACATGTAGAATGTACTTTACATAGTTGGATGAATTTAATTATTTATTCAGTCATCAAAGTATTTTAAAGCGACATATACAACGCATGTAAAATACATTGTTTATTTACATGAAATTCGAACATGCGCTGCGCGATGACCACCGTGCTTTAAATAGTACAAAATATTTGTTTCGCGAAAACTGTCTTGTTAAAGCATTGTTTCACAAAAAATAAATAGTAATTTTTCTAACAATTTGTGAAAACCACAAAAACCCATCTTATGAAATTTGGAGATATGATGACGAGAATGGGAAATCCACACCAAATGACTCAAAAATTAACTTTTCCATGGAGGTCAGATCTGTGTTTTTTGTGGAAAGTAGTTTGATGACCATATATTTTTATGTTGGTTTTGTAAAAATCCAAGCAACAATACCCAACTATAATCCAAACAATCAATGTCAAAAGGCAATATTTACAAATCCGAAAACACACAGGGGACACAAACAAAACAAGCAACACACTGTCAAATCGGTGAGAGAGATACATGGACCTCAAGGCACGAGTCAAGAGGTGATGCAGGTGTTTCGAAAAGAGTGAGCACATCCTGCTCCACATGTGGCACCCGCCATATATCTCTCTGAGTCACAATCGTGAATTTTAGGTCATTCCCGTGTTTTAATGGCAGCAAACTTGATGTTATTGTGAATAACAGCATATAATAACCATAATTGTAAAAGTCAAAACAAACGTGATCATCTGTTTTAATAGTAGCAAACTTGATGTTATTGTATTAAGTTACCTAAACACATCTCAAAAATTAAATAATGTAAATGCATCAATAAATTCAAATCAAAATAGTGAAAAATAATGATTTTACAGTAATTTAATTGAATCCTGAATCCCACTCGTCCTGAGGAAAATAGAAAACTTTCAGAAAAAAATGTCCCAGGTTTACTTTTCAGGGTAACAAGCACAAGAGGTTGATTAGGGGTTTTGTATCATGTGATAATTTCAAACCCTAAAATGTACTTTGCACTTATAGCACTTTTAAATCTTTTATTAAATTTGAACAATATTTAGAAAACACCAAAAACAGGAAATTTAGAAATGCTCTAACAAAATTCAGGATTTCAGCCAATCAGCTACCAGTAGAAAAAGATCGACATAGAGGCATTAAAAGAGAAGACAGATTCTGTCATCTGTGTAACTGTAATGAAGTTGGTGATGAAAAACGTTACCATTTCAGATGTAATCATGACAAAATTAGGGAATTAAGAAATTCATTATTTACAGCATTCTATGTTTATGCGCCTAGTCTACAACTATTAGCTAGAGAGGATATTTTTGTTTTGATTCTTTCAAGTTCTGATCTTTTTATTTGTAGTAGTCTAGCAAAATTTGTTTTTCATGTTTTAGAATTTTTTTAGCTTATTTTGTTTGTGTTATTTTGAACTTTACACTAGCTCTGTATTGTGTATGTGCCAAATAAAATATCCTATCCTAATGTATTAATAACTTAGAAATTACCTGGCATTTGAGGATGTACATGTCTTAATAAGTAATCTTTAATATCCTTGGGCATATCACCTCGTATATCCACTAATACTCTTGTCTCATGTGATTCTATTTGATAGACCAGTACAGGTGAAGGATTGGTTAGAATGACTTCAGAATAATGATCCACAAACTGGGGGCAGTCCTTCATGATAGCTCCGACAAAATGCGATGTAACCTTCGTTGAGGATTTCACCAGATGTTTACGAAAGCGTGAAAAACATCCATCAGCGATGATTGTTAGTGGGGCCCTGATTTCCTGTAAACATAGTAAATTGGCATTGATGGTGAAATAAATTGGCATAAGTGGTGACAGTAATTGGCATTGGTTGTGATAGAAATTGGCAATAGTGATGGCAAAAATCGCCATTTGTTGGTGACTGAAATTGAGCCTCCAAAGTTCAGAATATACCAATTTTTTACTGAATGTGATGACAGCAGTGTTGTTGTTTTTTTTACCTTGATTTCATCAGTTTGTTTGTCTTTATAAGTCACACCAACCACTCTGCCATCTTCTTCAACTATTCTATTTACTGTGGCTTCAATATAGCGGACACTTTAAAATAAATAAGACATAGTATGATTGAAACATATAGATGGCAGTGAAATCAGTAATTGTCGCATCCTGAAAAAAAACAATTTGCTATAATATACACCTATAAACAAACAGATTTTTTTTACTTTTTATCACTTTTTTGTTCATCATTTACTCTGATTAGCTGGCTGATTACTTAACAATCTCATGTTTAATGATATTCACAATGAAGTTTTCCCAATTTGGTCAAAATTCTGGATAACAGATTCTGGTTCATTCAAGGCACATTGAAAGCAAGAGTGATTTTTCCACAAATTTTCCATGTTTAGCCAAAAATAGTTGAGGGTGAGCAGTAAAAGTTTAGGTAGGATAGGGTTATAGGAGCCACACATAATTGTTTATTTGGCCAATAGTTCCCTTAGGTTATTTCAACCAGTCTAGGGAGTCCCTTTGCGTGCTACAATGCTTGGCAATTGTGAGAGTTTAAAAACTATCATCAAATATCTGTTTATAAATTCCCCCCTTTAACTGAGAAATTATTGTCATATTTTCAATACACAAATTAATTAACCAACCCCCATATACAGACCATCAGTCTGGCATTTCTATAGGTACATTAAAATGGCACTATATTTAGGTTTCACACTATGAAGAGGTAATTGATCGACTCAGCGTATTTCCAGGCTTTTTATTAATATTGACATTCATTTTTTTTTAAATATTTTTAAATTAACAATATTAGGATTCATACAATAACAATATATGAAATTTTGAGATGCTAAGATTTCATGCCAGTGCAAAAATTCACATTTTTGTCATTTTCCAAGCCATATCTGACTCTTGTTTCTCAAAACATTTCATTTTTATATTCTAAAAGTATTCCACCCATAATACTGACAAAATAAAAAAGATGACAAATATCAATTTGGCCAAAATCTCTTTATTTATGATCACAGTAGTACAAAGCTACATATTATTTACTTCTCAGATTACTATAACGTACTTACGTTTTCTGCTCTTTAGCAGCGTTCCTTAACTGTGCAATGAAACTACCATGATGAAACGCTCTACCTGTTTTTATCTGTTTATCGTTATCTAATGGATAGTCTAATTTAACATGGCTTTGTGTGTCTCTATCATGTACTATATATCCATGCGTCACATGTGCATCTATGCCTTCCACACAATCTGAATAAAAAGACAAATTTCACATACATGTATAAACTCATAAATAACAAATAATTAGCAACTAAAAATGTGTGTGACTAATCTTAGTGTTCAATATACATTCCTGAATTCTGATTTCATGTTACAATGGGTACAAAAGAGATTCGTACAGGTATTTTGCAACTTCCCCAGGAAAGTCCTTATCATTGTAACCCCATCAACATCCCCCAGATGGTTGAAGTGACCGCAAATGAGGTTTGTATGGATAATTTACAACTTTCCCCCCTGTATAACATAGTCACTGTATTGTTGAAATATGAAAACTGACAACAACTTAAACATAGTACGTACCTGGACAAAATTAATTAGTCCAAAATCAAGTGGGATCAGGGGAAGTGAGATTGTCACAAAATGTAGTAAATCATTTTCATAACATTAGATCATTCAACAGCACCAATAAGAAAGTCCCTCACTGTATTACAATATTCATACTTAGGGATTGTTCTAGGTTTTTTTTTTGCTAACTCCCTGATATGTTATGTCTTGTTGCATTTAAATCTTGATTCTAAAAATATAATCATGATTTTATATTCCTTGTAACTCGTTAGTAATTGATTAAGAAAAATATAACAGTAGAGCAACCATTGGTATTTAAATCTGAGCAGAAGCATGATTAATCAAAAATGAAAATAGTCAGTATTCTTACCTCCTAGGCCTAACTTTTTGAGTACTTGGAAACCACCTGGTTGTAGTAATTCTCCAACAATTCTGTCTGGCTCACTCATGTCTCGTTCAATAATAGTCACACGACGCCCATCTCTGCCGAGCGTGGCTGCCATGGCAGATCCAAGCACACCTGATCCCACAATCAATACATCTGGTTCATCTGCCGATGACCCCATGTTTCTGCTGTACGAATTCCTATTTGATAATTTCTGTAATAATTAAAAACCAAAATAATGAAATTGTGTTAAGTATGGCAATATTTAAAGTAAACGCCCTCTAGAGTTCAACTTACCAATTTAAGTCCAGGATCTGACCCAGCGTGAACAGCACAACAAATCAGGAATACGATTTTTTAAATGTATCCGATAATATGCTGCAAAAGTTGAAGTGCAGATTAATTAATATCAGTATTTGATCTGCAACTAAGTTCAAAGTCCAAATTTAACTGATTTTTCAACAATGTAGTATATATGACATGATATACACCACACCATGAGGTGATCATGTCTAGACAGTGTGATCTGACATATTGCCGAATTCCACTAAAATAAAAGTTTCTTGTTTTAAAATCACGTTTTAAATTCATAGATAATCCTAATGTTTCATGTACAAATAAAAATCGCTAGATTACTAAATCAGTCATTTTAGCTTGAACATACTTGACAATCTGAAATCATTAATTAATATTGCCTCATTCTGACATTCTCGTTAATGACCAATGAAGAAAATCAAGTGATTAATTTCCCAAATATAGTACAAAATTATCCTCAATAAATATAACAATTTATTAAATAAGGAGATTGGAAAACAACTATACATACCTTGTTTTCTGGTTTACCGAGTACAAAATATAAAAATAATCCGAGACTAAAAAATATCGTCAACATCGATAAATTTTGTCCGTTCGCTTCGGGAAGGAAATGCAAGCATCTCTCGATCATGTTCATCATAATCGTTGCTACCTGGGACATTGAGAGCAGCCTTCACGTGCAGTCTTTTAAATAAAAGTCTGTAATTTCCGAATTTATCCAGTAAATATATCCGATTTTTCAGTAGTTTGTCGTAAGCTGGCACATATTTTTGAGTATCACGTATACATCACCATGTATTGGTCGTCTCATGAAACAATATAAGGAATGATCATGTTCCGATTCCTTTTACATCCAGCTATCTTGACAGTGACATCTGACTCCAGTATCGTGGCACTCAGCTGTCAATAATATCCGTGTAGTGACTGTTATTTGCTTCTTGCAAGGTGACGAAAAAAATGACAGATCATTTGCAGGTCAGGCTTTGTGAATTAAAATAAATTGTATCTTTCCTTGTACCGTACATAACCTGGTATTACAAGTCTTGTCCGCAGTATTGAATGAAAACACACTACAAATCAGAGCAACCTAGTTTGACCTCATGTCACCCGGCAGAATTGACCAATCAAATCGCAATGTGCTCTGCTGATCCACTCTCGACCAATCAAATGGGTGAATCACGTTCAGTGAAAGTCATGAAAAAAATAGCACTAAGCTGAAGAATTTTGAATACAGTAGAGTTTATTGCTCATTTTAACGTGAACGAAGTCGGCGAGAGAAAGTTCGTCGCTATGAATGGCATTTCTTCATAAAATAAGCTTCACCTGAAGAACTATGACGTCATATAGCTATAAATAGGATCGCCTGATAGGTCTCACTGGTAGGTCTCGTCTAGTTCTCGTAGCCTATGGCCGCGAGACTTGTCTGAGATTTCAAACCATTTGTAGGAGGTTGAACAAAATACAGAACAGCACTACTAGTGCGTGGAAGTGATTTTCTCTGTAGAGGGGAAAATAAAGGAAATACGTATGGCCACTGAGCTGAGAAATTGAGGTTTTTAATTTATTTTACGTGAACACTGACACGAATCGTTCTGTAAAGTTGATGAAATGTGCCTATGAACGCATTACTTTATCAGGAGATTGTTCAAGCGCATTCGGTTGGAGTAAAAATGGTGTAAGTGACAGCCACTTTGATAAATGAATATTCATGAGACAACATATCTGTGTTTGGTTTCTAAGTGTTAGACATCGCTACGTAGTGTAGCGGAATCAACGTGACCATGTCCCGAAAATAAGCGACATTGGTAACGACCGAACCGTGAATGATAATCTGGAAGTATACGGAACCGCGGTTGACAGTAAAGCCTACGCAATTCCGCAAGGAAGTCCGGAACAGCCCGCTAACAACAAGACTGTCCGGCCCCATGATCCAGCTGAAGGCGAAGGAAACGGCGTGGTATTAAGTGTCGACAAGGCACCTGTTGTACCCTCATAGCAAAATAATAACATTGCCTGCACCGAAAAGTAGAAGAACCTTCGTCGTAACGGTAACGTAGCAATAAATCGAGAACAGATGAGCGACGGCGAAAATCCAGATCGTCGGGATCACCCGCAAGAAAATGGCCACCACGAGAACGAAACCGGAGACGCGAGTACCAACAGAACTGGTGGATCAGAAGTGAAAAAGAAGAAAAAACGTCCATCCGATTCAGACCACATTCAGATACCACAAGTAAACATGGAGGACATCGTAAAAACAGAAGCTAAGAAAATGGAGAGATCGCTGGAGATGACTGCCCCAGGAAACCCTAAACCAGCGCATGGTAAGGCCAAGAAGGCGAAAAAATGCATTTATATTTCGTACTCACCTGACGCTGGATTTCAGGAGAGAAAGTTTGTAGCTGAAACTGTTAGACAACTTAAAGAAAATAATTTGAGTGAGGATATATGGTTCGACAAAGATGAGAAAAATACAGACAGTCCTGCATGGTTTTCTCAAAGAATGGAAGCTGTGGAGAGATGCAAAGCCTCTATATGTTTCTTGTCAGACAGTTACTTTCAGTGTCCGGTATCCGTGTACGAAGGACGATGTTTGCTGGAGAGAGTCCGATCAGGAAATGTGGTCCCAAGGATTTTCATAGTTTTGTTCACTCCTACTGAAATCCCCCGCATGTATAACGAGTTTTTGCATGAGCTTGTTGATCTAACAGGAGCTCATGTTAAAAGTAGTATTGCAGAGAAAGCATCAGTAGTGGTAGGTAGCTTGATGGAGCAACTGGAGAAGTTTGCTATGATAAACACTCCGCTGCTTCCAAACACTACCAAGGAATTTACCGGGGAGTATAAAAAAAAGAAAATATGCCAGTGGAGCCAGTACGACCTACAGGAATGGCTGTTTGATCTCGGTGTGCGAGAGTTCTATCGGCAGAGTTTTGCTGAGAATCAAGTTGATGGCTTTCTCCTGATGTCCATGAATGATCAGGATATGCAGGATTTCCTTGGAGTCGACAGTCGAGTTGTCCGCAAGAAAATCCTTCAACAGATTCTTGCCATCCTGGAGAAAGAACACAAAGTTGCTGATAATTGGCACCTAAGGGCGAGAACTGTCCGTGCGAAGCAGGATACAGTGTACTTAGTGTACGATCCAACGGATGTAAGATTGGCACAGAACTTAAAACAGGATTTGAGGAAAAAGAATTTACAGGTAGGTCATCAAGTGGAAATCAGAGCCTGTTCTTCTGTACTTTCTATTGTTCTCTTTTCTAACACAACAACATCCACAAATCCAACTTTACATGCACTTATATACTGTACAACCATTTATTTTCACTGGCATTTAATTTCGCTATTTCAATGCTTTGAGCAATTTCACTGGGTTTTAAGTTCACATACTGGGCATGGAAACAATGAGTTCTATTGTTATTTTACATGTTCACATGGATTTATTGTAGCAGATTTTACTTGTCAGTGAAAATAGTGAAATTAAAACCCAGTGAATAAATAATGCTTTTACAGTATGTATTTGTGGTCGTTTATGTACATGTGTTTTTGACGTATGGCTGCATGCTTTCAATATGGTCTCCAAAGAACTTCATATATATGGGTTTACAGGTATCAAATATTTATACGCATATTTTTTTACATCATAGATGGCACTGCTGTCAAATTTGCATAACAATATTAATTTGCATACTTTTTTTTATTATTAGCTCAAATAGTATTCTCAAATGGAGGGGTTTATAAAATAACTCATCAGGGGGTTCTGTATTCCTTGTCTGGTGATGACCAGGAATGGGGGAGGCTCAGTTCAACCATATTGAGAAAACACAGATCTTGTGGGCTGCAGATCATTTTAATGAACACACCAACACTGAAGTACATCTATTAATCTGGGGTGTGTCGTGAAGTGTTGAGATGTCTGACAAGGCACACAACTCATTGGTCTCAATGCGACGGCCATTATTTATGCTCTCCAAGTTTCGTACACAATGCAGATCACAACACAGACTTGATTATTATTGAATACACCTCCAGCATGTACAATTTGTCATCTGTCTGTATAGCCCAGCCTGTTATGATATTCTATTCAAAACTATCTCATTCACTTTTTTAATTGTCAAATTGAAGTGAACTTTGACCTTTGCTAAGCAACTTTTTCAAGTCGTATTCCTTTCTGTCATAGTCAAGGAACTGAATAGTGGTTCTTTTCAGTTATTGAAATCCTCCTTGACCATAGTTGAGTACCTTGCATCTTGCGTTTCACCTCCCTTAAGATCCTTTTAACCAGAAGTGTTTACTTTACCAACATAAGCCTTACCCTGTCTTCATGCTGCATTGCAGAGCTGGTCCTCTTACAATGTACCATATTAACAAAATAAATCATGTCAGAGTTGAAACTTATTATAGAAACACACAAGTGAAATCATCCATAAACAGTGCAGCTAGTGTAGTGTGCTTACAATTTTGAGTAAAATATTAAACATTTAACCAATTAGAAACAATGAAAATATATTATTTCTTTTCCTTGGCATATTTAGTCGTCAATCAAACAGTTCACTACTTTCAGCGACATTTTAACATTGTATTGCTTATAATATGCAGCTCCTAATTGCCTTTTTAGGCTTAACAGAATTGTTAATAATGGAGGTAGTTGTCGGCCAATACAAATTGATTATGTCGTTTACCGAGAGTTTACAAACAGGTAATTGGCCAATCTTGTGATATACATACATGGCAAAGCAGCAAATTTGTTTGTTTCTTTGCTTGTACTTAAAAAAACATTTTATTGACACTTCGAGCACAACTCACAACAATGATTTGTTGCAATGCAACATTTTAACTCAATAAGAGCAGAGGTTAATTTGATTGGCTAACCATATGGTAATTTAATCACCGGTCACGGTATTCCAATGCTGTACATTTTTTATACTGAAATATTGGAAAAAGTATATTTGTGGTATATTCATTAATAATTAAAATTATGAAAATATCTAATGAGTCTTGGCTAAACCATAACTATTTCTAGGGTAAGTGACAGCAGTGATTAGTTTCCGCATGCTCAATGTTGAGCCACTCAGGTATAAAAAAATTGTTATTCAATGCAAAAAAATAATAAATTGTAAAAGTCTCTAACCAGTTTCCTCTGGATAAAAGGTTTATTGAATAATGTTGTTTACTCTGTGAACTCTTGGATGGGTTAAGGCTACATCGCTCTCTTGTGTTATTAAACGACCTCTCGTGGTAAATTTTTTTTTTCAACTCTTTAGAAAATTACAAACTCTAAACATTATATTGTATGAAACATAATGATTATTCTAGCAATAATTAAACTGCAGTTACTGATGTCATAAATTTGACATAGACATAAACTTTTCAAAATTTGGGAGTAATGAACTCAGATTAAAGTGCATGCAACTTGAAAAAAACTCTATTTATTTGTTGTAATATATGTTCCATAATCTGACAGAAATATGTATGTCATGTTGAAAATAAGGACATGTTTGCGTAAGCACCTTTACCTTTACATATCACAGTATACTTGTTTTCCAACTGCACGGTCATAAATAATGAACTCTATAAATTATGTATCGTACCAAACAGTTTTATTGCTTCAGCCTCTAGATTACAGATAATATAATCTGTCTAATACCGATAATTCTTTTTTTCCATATGCAAGCCAATTACAATTGCTCTGAGAAATACAGAACCCCATCAATAGTTCGATATCTAGGGTTTAATTGTCGAAAAGTAAATAATTCAGGTGATCGTCTGTACGTTGAGTGATGCATACTATACTAGCGTACCAACACGCTGGAACAGTAGACTGAACAATCTAAGAGAAGTCATTTCTTTCACGCTAACGTGTCATTAATATTTTTAGAAATATGCGTTTGTTTCAACTTGGATTTCTTATCAATGAAATCATCAGCAATGTTGTCATTGTAGTCGCATATCTCGTATCTGTCTTTTGCACTGTTTTTCCCTAATCAGATCACTAACCTGAGGGAAAATATAGACAAGAACAATCAATAAAAAAAGCCAACAAGGCTTGAAATATGACACCGAGTCATTGCCTTGATGCCCCACCTGACTGCCTTTGTATACTTAAATTTTCACTACACAGTTTCAGTGAGTGTAAACCTTTTCAACATGCCTCGAAAATGAGTTCCGTAAACAACTTTGAAAATCAAGTCCTGTCCCAGTGACAGCCAACTGGTACAAATGTACCTGTAACCCAAATGTTTTCAATATCAAAGTATCTTTTATATTGCATAGTAGGTTACCATGGTTACAACTTGGTTAGTGTATATTTTGGTGTATGTTGCCTAGCAACACACAGCATTAAGATATACATGTATGCAAAGACAGTATGTTGATTTCAATCATTGATATTGACTATGAATAGACTTGAATATAATATAATTGAAAAATCAATCAAAATCAATACTAGTGTACCACCTTACCCTATTCAAAATTCATTACCTATCGCAAATTTTGTTAATGAGAATTCAATGGAACTGAATCTATTATCCAGAATTTTCACACTGTAAACAAAATTAAACATAAAAACTAAAAATGATGCATGATGAAAAAAATCCAGCTTACAATATATCCTACCTTTTTGTATTGTTTTATCTAATTACTGTAATGTTGACCAAATAGATGATAGTTTCTAACAGTTTTAATCAACATTTCTGTAGAAAGTTGAAAACAAATAAGCAGGTCTGTTTTATGAATAGTGACAAAACTCGACTTTTAATAGCATTCTCATTATTAAATTACATTGTAATATTCAACTTGAATATACAAATTCAACTACATAATATGCTGTTCTCTTTAAAAACCAGTGAATTTAAAACCTGCTGCAATATCAAATCTTCTATAACTTTAACCTTGTGATGAATTCTCCTACAATATATTAGTGTCAAGCTTCTTTGAAATCTTGTATAGTAGAATGCACTCACCTGTAAAATAAATTCATTCAGCCAAGCTTGATTAATTTGGTTGGTACAAATCTCTGTTTGATTGCTTGTGTCGTGATCACTCACAAAATAATTGTGAAGTTTACGGTTTCCTACATATGCTGCTGAGGATATCGTAACAGCATTTGATTTTCACCAAGGTTTAATTTCAATATTTGGGGTACATGTATAATCACTGGGTTTTAAAATGATAGATTGATAGAAAATTCTGTTGAATTTAATTTAGCAAAATTAAATTTTATTGTGAATGATTTAGTGAAACTGGACGGCAATTATTAAATTAACGCTGGATGCCTTACAAGTTTTATTCTGTATTATGGGCAGTGCATGACATATTGGTGTCAAGGTGCTTAACCTTATGAACACCATAAATTTTTTCAACACAATCTTGAAAACTTTTCTGAATTTTTCTAGAATTTTTTCATTTATTTTGAACCAAGTAGACTTAATTTGATGTTACCTACATATCTTGGTAAAAACATTTTTTTTTTTTAAATGACGGGTTTCGTTTTGTGAATAGTGACAATTTTACTTTAATGCTCAATAGATTAAACTTAACATTTTGTTTGTCGTAAAAATTAAATTAATTCCAAATAATTGAAACTAAAATACATTTTAGTCAAAGCAACTAACTTGTCAGTTGGCTAATTAGAGTGGGTGAATGTCCCCTTTTTTACTACTGTATAATCAATACTTTTCATTTATTGGGAGAATCTGGAATACAGTTGAAAGAAATGTTTCTCTATAAATGATTCGCAGCTTGCTAAATTGTTTTTGTTTGAATTCCAAGGGGAAAAAAAATTTAATACAGTAAAAAAACGGCTCAGATTTGTCCTAGTATAGTATATCTATATGTGTAATAGAATACATTTATATCACCTACTTTAGTAGCTAGCCTTAATGTCAGAGTAACCAATCAGATGATCTAGAAATTTACATGTAATGTAGCGGGTGGTACGAACAATCTGGGTTCGGAAGTTATAGAAACCCCACCTGTCGTAAGTGGAGAACGTAAATTCCAATAGATTTTTAACAGAACTATCGAAGTCAGATTGCATGCTTATAAAATGTTGCTCCAATGTTTTTGCTGGTTAATTATTATGATTATTAGATTAATTATTGCAATTATGAGGAGAGGAGTCTAAAATTCACCCTGGACTTGTAAATTCATGCTCAAGTCTAAGGAGTGAATGTGTAATCGGAGGTCAAGTGGTGAAACACT